CGGACATCCAATATTCCCAGTCGCGTGTTATAGCTATAAAGCAACCCCTACCTCTAACTTGCTCAGTTTTTGTCCGTTCCTGTCCAGATTTCTCCCAGACGCGCCTTCCGCCTGTACCTTTCATCCTATATCGCTATCTCATCAATCTCCGCAGCGTAAGAATTGAATTGGTCGTGGCTTTGGTAAACAAGTCCAAAGTCACGATCCTTTCTTTCTCTCACACAACGACTATGACTTGGGCGCCCTTTCGCTGCGACTCTGAGGGCCGTTTCGGCCTTGAGCTCATCGAAACATCGCCTGACGGAGTACTCTCCCTTGAAGGAATCGACCCCTACTCGCTTACTGAAGACGATTTTCGCCCATCTGCCACCGCCCCGGTCCTTACACCCCTGACCGAGGAGATTGAGGACTCCTACCCTGCTACTGAGGAGGAGCTCCGCAGTCTCTACTTCCTCGACCACCCATGCTTCGTTCGTGCTCTGCCTTTCCTTCGGGATCCTTCCCGGGTCCCAAGGACTTCTATCATATACTTGGACCTCGTTGTACAGCGCCTAGAGCCTATTTTCGTAAGTCCTTTCTTACTCTTGCTCTATACACCTAACGTTTATGTTCTCTAGTCTGCTTTCGTCCGCCACTACCGAGCCGTTCCCGAGACTGAACTGCAACACCGTTTTATATCTGCAATCGTTCAATTCGGGCGGTCTGTGGGCCCTGCGGCTGCGGCTATTTGTAACAAGGTTATTCCACCTGAGTTTCCTTCCAGCTCTCTCCAGGTGCGCCACCTCTAGTTATAGCGTCTTCACTTAAACTTAGAGGCCACCTTTCAAGACCCGCACTATTCCTGCTTCGTTCCATTTTTCTTGGGCCACCGAGTTCCCTTCGGACGCTTTCCCAGAGCCTTTCCTTCTTGACGAAGTGTCTCACGGGATTCTGCTCCAACAACCCAACTCGCCCTTGCTCCAACTGACGTCCTACCTTTCGTACCCTGACGAAATCTTGACCAAGAACATCCAATCGAACCAGCTTGCCCAGTTCCTTACTCGAGCATTCCCAGCGATTGTAAGTCCGTCGATTTAGTTAATGCTTCTTAGCTCACACTAGCTTCTCGTCCAGTACCAACTTATTCCTAAGGCAACATTCCCCGAGGCTCCCCCACTTTGCCGGGTCGTCGTGAACGCCATTCGTCGTCTGATCAACAGCGTTCCCGCGAATCTGCGTAACCCAAAGGTAGACCAGGGTGTTCCAGCTATAGATGCATCACTGGTTCGCCCTCTATCTCTAAACTTCCAGTTTACACTAATTTATGTTCAGGCAACGTGTGTTCCTCGGAACTTTGGCTTTCCCACCACTCCTTTCGTTCCTTACGAAGGGGATGTGAACGCTATGTTCCCTTTGGTCAACTCGTTCGACACCGTGATCGATCCTTTGGCTGAACACTGGGAGGAGTTCATCGGAAATGCTCCTGACGATCACCCCGCTTTACGGTCACCATCCCCTAGCCCAAAGTACCAGGCCGGACAGCTACAGATGAAGGTTACGCCTCTACCGCCTGTTCGCCGTCGCACCGGTTCCCCGGAGCCACCTCCCATTATCCAGAGCTTGTCCCAGATCGCTGCTGAAGAACTGTGGTCGCCACAATCTCCCAGCTCTCGGTGCTCATCTCCTCATTTTTCTCCTGGCCCGACCATCGAGCCTCAAGATCCACAAGTCCCTCTTCCTCCAGTTTCCAGGCCGGGGCGATGGGTAGACATTACATTTTTCGATTGTTGTATCTTTAGCTAAAGCCTTTTTCCAGGTCATGGATGGCTTCCAGACTCTTCCTAGACGACCTAGCAGGTCGCAAGGCCCATCTACGGTCATGCCTCACCATGACCGCGCTTCCCCATCGCCCGGTCCTCCTATTGTATCTCTTCAGGTCGAAATTCCTGAGAACCCAGCTCCGTCGGTAAGTTCCCCTCGACTTGAGTCATCTCTCTCCCTTACTAATTGGTTCTACTTATTCCCAGAAGAAGCGCAAGCGCTCGCCCGCCCCTTCTGACGATACCGGCCTCCGTAAACTGCCTCCTCGTCAGGCTAGTATCAAGGCCAAGTCTGTGCAACCATCTTCCCCGGTTCGTCTGTTATCTTTTATCTCATCTGATCGCTCCACTAACCTCCTTCCTTTTAACCCTTTTCAGAAGAAGAGTAAAGGCAAAGGCAGGGCGATGTCCTGACCTCAGATCAACCTTACCTCAAACGCCAGATCCGTCTCCGTGGATTCTGACGGAGGTGAGCCCGAGGTAGATGAAATTAAAGAAATCCCTCCCCGCGTTTCGCATCCCCGCGCGCATTCGCGCAGAGTTCGACACCCGTCCGATGGTCCTGACGACCCTCGCTTCCCCCCTACTAGCGGCAACAAGAAGGGACGCGGACCTAAAAAGTCTGCTCCTCCCTTCGTGCCCGCGGTGCCTGCTCCCAAACTAAATGTTTCGGGAATGGCAGTGGAAGCGACTATGGCTTCCGAGGAAATTATAGTAAGCTCCAAATCTCCCACCTCTGCCTTCCCTCTTCGTTTCCTAACTGAACCTCTAGTTCGCGATTGGATGTACGAACTGCGTAACCCGGCGCCGCAATTGCCCGCACAAACCCACTCTCGGTACCCGATGCGACGAATGCAAGGCGAAAGGAGACTCTTGGTGTTCGCACGCGGTGACCGCCGCCGAGCACCTTGAGCTCATGAACAACTTGGAGCCTTACACCCGCCCTGCCGACACCAGTAAGTCTCCTGCTCACTTCTAGCTATAGGTATCTCAACTCTTATTTTTACAGATACCAACGCTATAATCGACACTCTGGCCCAGGCTCGCTACCTTTACCAGAATGCCCAGCGTACTATGTTCACCGCCGGCCTCTTCCTTTTGGAAACGGGACACAAGGCCTCCCTTCAACTTCGTCGTCAACAACAGCTCGGTCCGGGTGGTATCCCTGGCCTGGACGACATTCCCGAGGGCTTGCGCGATGTCTGGCCGGAGTTCGTCCACGATGCTATCACCACTTTCGACGCACCATACCAGTTTAACCGCGACGTGATCCTGGAGGAGGCCCACGATCGTATCCTCATTGACCACCCGGATTCAGAACGCGCCCTCGACCACGCCTTGACTGCTTATAAGCAGCAGCTCGCCATCCGCAACCATCGTCAGCACTCATCCGACGACTCCGGCTCTCGTTCTCCTGTGGCCGGTCCCTCAACTCACCCGGATGCTCTGCAGATGGACGTTGATGACCAGGATCAGATTGAAGAAGACGTCTGAGTTTTTGTTTTACCGTCCTACGCTATCGGTAAGTCTCCTTACTCGTCTATTTCTCTCTGTCTTTCTGAACCGCACTTATAGCTATTGCTAAATTTTGCTGTCCCAGTGTACGTTGTCGTGCCGTCCGTTGTATATACGACCTACTTGTACTTGAGTAGCCATATATACGTCTTATTGGCTCATCTAACGCCCCATCTGATTTTGGACCGAGGTTCAACTTCTCACCTCGCTAAACTTGGTTTAATCTTATCTTAGCGTAGATTCCCGATAGGTGATACCCGATCCTCGGTTAGGCTAAGTCCATCCGAACTCAATCTCGGCCGAAAGGAATTTCGCTGATCAAGATACCATCGATAGATTTTCGAACCAAGTCCCCAAATTCTCGTTCGGATACTTTCTCATCATCATCAGGCCTTCCTTGGCCTTGTCCGCGTGACGTTGCACGGTGAGCTGCTGTTACAGCCTCATGTTTTTGCCTCATGGGCGAAATCTCGAGTAGTTTAAGCGAGGCAATACCTATAGCTATAAGTATTGCCCACCCGAATTTCTCTTTCCCTCGGCCCACTATGTCTGCTGCGAACATCCGTCTGCCTCGTCCGCCCAACCCCTTGCTTCTCACCACTGAGGATGCTTTTCCAAACCTTGCCCCTTACTATGGGAGAGCTCAACCTACTCGCGATACTGCTGAGGCCTTCCTTCGAAATATCCCAGCTGTAAGTTTATCTTTCCCATTCCTTCATCGCTCGCCTCTGACCCTTTCTGTGGTACAGGTTCACTTGCGAGGGCTGCATGGTTAACCCCGGCCGTGTTTGCACACTTACTCGCTGGCCCGAGTCCTGCCCACCTTGCGCCGTCACGGGCCGTCGTGATTGTTCCAACCGTAGCCGCGTCGACTTTGCGGCCGCTCTTTCACGTTTCCACAATAACCATTACGACGCTATTGTTAACAACATGCTCGCGATCTCTGAGAATCTTGACACCGGTGCGTCTACCACCTTTGTTTTGTCCACGCTGGCGTCTGACTTTGTGTTTTAGCGAGAGCCGCAGACATGCAATTCTATGCTGACTGCTCTCTGGCCTTCACTATTTTCGACCAAGAATTGGATCGCGTCGAGGACCTGATCCTTGCAGGCCTTCGTAGCGCCTTGGGCACTGTCCACAACCCCAGCGTGCTTACTACACTTCGTCACCTTTCTTCGGTTCTAAGGATCTCTCCTTCTATTACAGACGTTCTTGATCAGCGTATCTCCCTCTTGTATGGCGGCCGTCTCGCTGGATCTCGCTACCCCAGTACCCAGATCCTTTCTTTACTGCGATCCGAGACAGATATGAATTAGTTATCACTTATAGCTAATAGTAGAACTAGATCCAAAGTTGATCTTTCCCTGCTACCTTTCGCGAATTCCCTAAGTCAAATCATGTGTCCAGGCCAGGCCTTCGTCTTCCTTCGTTCCTGGAGACGCCTCGATGCTGCGGTCCCACGCTAAGACTAATTTTGTCTTTATCGCGTTCCCGGTACCATATGCCAAGCCTATCCCCGCTTGATGCGCACTGGATTTATCCGTGTAGCCGATCACAACCCTTTTGTCGGGTACAATACTCGGAACGCTTATGCCTATCCCGCAGATTCCGAATCGCCAAGTCTCTTTCGGACTTGTGAATTCTCATTCTACTTGGCATAATTATGCGTTTTCTTCCTTTATCGTCGTCCGCCTAGCTCAATAGGATAGAGCGTCAGACTTCTAAGTCTGGAGGTTGTGAGTTCGACTCTCGCGGCGGGTGGGAAGTATTTTTCTTCCTGCCCAACCTGTAGCTAGAGATCTTTCATCATGATTTTCTTCAACCATAATTTAACCGAAGGCCATATGGACTTCTATTCTTGTCTGAGTGTCGGGAGGCGACTTCTGTTCCGACGGTTGAATCCTACTTGAATTTATCCGTGGCGTCTGATGGTATCCCTCCCCTTTTCAAAAATCTTAACTGTCCTCAGTTAATTTAACCGAGCGTCAAGACCCGTGTCGACTTCAGAAAAAATTTTGCCGTCCCGGCCCATGTCTCAAGCGTATAAAGATGAGCTCAACTTCAGCCCATACATCAGTTTCTTCAGTTTCTATCCCACATTATATCCTATGGCGCCACCTCCCTCTGGCAGCAAACTTCTCACTAAGTCTCAACATGACTCTATTCTCGCTATTGGTGACTCCATTGGTGCGACGTCGTACAAGGACCGTGCGAAACAGAGGGCCTTTCTGGATGAAAAAGTTGTCGCCCTGGTGCGTTCGAGTATTCAACTCCTCGAATACTTCTAATCATTTGTACCAGGAGTCTTTCATTCCTTTCTTGGCTCACATCTCTTCCGACAAGAGTCTTTATGACGTTTACTATAGCGTCAAAAACTCATATCACCAGGTTCGTCGCGTCTTGACTTTCTCATTTAACCTCCCTGACCATTTTTCAGATCGGCCTCGGTGCCGCTGGAGTCATTGGGGGTCGCTACCCAGTTATTCTTGATCTCACAGCTCGGATCAAGGCTGAGCGCGAGCGGCAAAAGGGTCTTACTCTCCTCGGACAGCAGCAGCATCGGGCAGAGCTCGAAAGCGCTCGCGCATTGGCTGCAGAAGTACAGGCCGCCGAGGCTCAGGCTGCGAAAGAGGCCTCCGCCTCCTCCAAGAAGTCTAAAGGGAAGGGCAAGGTAAGTTCAACTTATAGCTATAAGTTCAACTCCGCCCTAATCCGATTTTATTTTTAGAAGAAAGTCAAAAGCAAGGCTACCGTGGACGACGCGGACGACGAGGACTCTGTCTTCGACGATGCCGACTATCCCGCCTCCGGTCCTGGTGAGGACAACGACATCATGATTATTGACACTGATCCGGTACGTTCAGACCTTCTGAATGACTGTATCAACGCCATTGACCAACTTTGCGCTTCTTTTGCGTCTATTCAGGTTACCGAGGTTGCTGCGCCCGCTCCGAATCGTCGTGCCACTATTTCTGTGGACAGCGGGGCTACCGTAAGCGCCTCTATCGCTAGTTTGTCAACCCTGGAGCACCTTGCTCGATTAATTGACTTGCTCAGGCTGCGCCCAACGTCGGAAGTACGCGCCCCTCCTCGGTACGCATATCCTTCCTCCGTATCAAGGGCATTGATCGACTGGCGAAATCTTATATCAAGGCTATGGCGATTTTATCCCGAACTGACCCCATCACAGAGTCTACCGGGGCTCGAGACGACTTTCCAAGCCAATCTCGGAAGCGTCCTCGACAATCTCAACATGCTCATGAGGACGCCGAGGAGCAGTTCGCAGGTGCGTATCCTCTAGCTATAAGGCTCCCTCGAACTTACAACCTTCTACAGCCGCCGAGCTCTCAGTCAACAACGACACAGTCAAGAAGACTGTTGCCTCCGCCCGTGCCGCGACCTCTTCCGACGCCCACAGCGACACCATCGGCTCCCTTCGTCTCGAGGAGGCCGACGTTCGTAGTCGGATCGCATTCGCCAACGCGCAACTTCGGTACCACCTCGACCACCGCGAATACCTTCTCACGGACCTCCGCCGGATTCTGGACGCCCAACACCAGAGGACGCAGGCCCCGGTTGGTTCAAAACATGTCTAGCTCCAGGTATGTTCTCCTTCTTTTGCCGCGCATGTTCCTTCGGGTTGACTTTATTCTTCTTAGTCGTTTCCCGGTTTCCCAACCTGCTCCACCGCCCGTCACTTATTTGGATGAGTGCGCCAGCTGTGGTACTCACAACCACGCTGTCTCTCACTGTCGTTCTTCGCACTCCTTCTGAGATTTTATCCACCCACCCTCCAACTACCTTCTTTCTTGCGCCCAACTCTTCCCCAGTCTTTACCGGTTCCGTTTCTGACACCTAACTCCTACTCCTGTCTTTACTGGTTCATTTTTCTTCTCGGACATCCAACTCGGGTACTTGTAGCTACAACCCCTGTAGCTGTATTTCGCACACATTCTTTTGTCCAATTCAATCGTGATTCTTGCCAGCCTTCTTTCGTTTGGATCGACGAGGCCCTGACTCTCCTCCATACTCCTCATTCAGCTCTTCCCAATTTAATTCGGGTTCAACTTCACTGGTATAGCTTTCTGAGTCAGATTCGTCCTTGTCTCTCTCTTCCACAGGCCGGATCCTAATCTTGTGGAACTGCATGTCTTTCCCCAAGTACTCGTCGTCCGCAGCATCATCTTTCGCCATCTCTTCAAGGGTCTCTTGCGATAAATCTATTAACTCCAGAATTCTTTCGGGGAGTTCTATAGATTTACGTTGTTCGAACGGTATAACTCTGAATTGCGCAATTTTGCCGTGGTACATTGCGCCATCTAATTCACAGCAGAGATAAGAACCCCCTTTTGTCCGTCTTACAACTATCATAGGCCCGAGGTAACGAAGGTTCATTTTGCTGTTCAGTGACTTTTCTGTTGACGTATTCCGTACAAGTACTAAGTCACCGGGCTTGAAATCATAGTCCTTGATGGTGCCCTCATGAACTTCCTCGTATCTGCGCACTGCTTTGCGCTTTTCTTCATCTACTCTCTGTCGCATCTCTTCAACATGGTAAGCATGTTTGGCTAAGGCCCTCGCCCGTAGACCAATTAATTCTCCTGTTGTCAGCGGTGTTCCCGGATATTCAACCAACCATGTAGCTTCCTCAATATCGAGGGGTATTACAGGGTGTGCTCCGCAGACGGCAAAGTAAGGCGAACAGCCTAATCCTCGTCGTATGGTAATTCGGTCTGCCCACAGAACTTGAGGGAAGAACCAATACCATTTCTTCGGGTCCCCACCTGTAGCCTTAACTAGAGATTGACGAATGTCCCAATGTCCGCGTTCAACAGGCCCGTTGGCTTGCGAATTATAGGGAGCTATTTTTATTCCCACGATCCCATATTTGGCATTCAGCCACTTTAACGCTGCCACAAACTGACCCGCATTGTCAGTGACTATCCATTGGGGGCAGCCCCACCTGCAAATCACATCTTCCAATAAGAATTTTCCTAAAGCTTCCCCGTTATCCGCGCGTAAGGGCCTACCTTCCACGTATCTGGATAAAGAGTCTCGAGCCGCCACCGAATATCTGTGCCCATTAGATACAACCCCCATGATCATTACATCGGTGTGTATTTTCTGGAAAATACTCGGAGTCATGGTTGGCTTAGGAGGAATGCGCAGTAGAGTTTTCTGTCTCAGTTGGCAACTTATACACGACTTAACGAACCAGTTAATGTCGCCCTCCATTTCTGGCCACCAAAATCTCAACTCGATGAGGGACTTGGTCGCATAGAAGCCTCGGTGCCCTAGGGAATTGTGGGATGCACGCATCATGTACATCCTATGTTCCTTCTCGACTACCAATTTATGCGTCGCCCCTTCTCCTCGACGGTATAACCGCCCATCTTTACTCAGGAAGAAGTGCCTACTGAACTTGATAAACTTTTTGAACTCCTTATCGTTCATCCCTTCTGGTCTCACCAGTGGACTGTTGAGCCAAGCCTTCAAATGACTGAGTCTTTCGTCTTGGGCAATTCCAGCCCCAGAACGGTGTGTTTCAACATATTCTTCTCGTTTGGTAGGATCATCCTTTAACTCTGTTCGAGGCAACAGTAATTCTTCCTCAGGCTCTTCTACGAGCATGAACTGAGGCACCGCGAGTCCTTCTTGGGCATAGATATGCTTAACCCTCTCGGTAATTACTCGCTCTTGGTTTATAGCTAAAGATAGATCCTCCCGAAAATCGTCGATTGAACCAGCCGCTCCTTCCATCGACTGTAGGTAACCGCCGCGTTCATCAATGTCGTCCTTGAATTCATCAAATTCCAAGGGCTGGGGACAGTTATAGTCCCAGTCTTCATGATTTTCGGGTGAAGGGTTCTGGTCAAGCCCAACTTCGTTGTTCTCCCACTCTTCATCCCCTGGTTGAGCCTCTCTCCTAGATAAGCCGTCTGGCAGGAAGGTAGCACCTTTAACGTGCTTCAGTTTAAAATGGAACATTAAAATTTGTTCAATCCAGCGATTTATAGTCGCATTGGGTCCCATTCCCGGATTATTCAACATGCCTTTGATGTAGAGCGCGTCCGTCTCCACAACCAGCCTGCGACATCCTAGGAGCCAATATTGCATTGCCTCTAACGCCCGCTTCAACCCATATAACTCCCTCTTTGGCTGCGAGAATCGCGATTCTCGCTTATTGAGAGTTATGGACGCGAACTTGGCATAATGCTTTTTGAACTTATCTATCAGGTCCATCTGATATATCTGAATCCCAACAGCCATCCAAGACGTGTCAACAGCCAAAACTATGTCTGTATCCCAGTCATAGCTCAAAGGACGCAGAGCATTACTTGTAGCTATAGCGTCTTTCAACTTTTGCATGGCCTGTTGTTGCTCTTCTCCCCACTCAAACTCTTGGTCGTTTCTCGTCAGTTTGGAGATGGGCTGACAGATCTTCCCGTAGTTCTGGATGAACATCCTAAGGACTCCAACCGTCCCCAGGAAACTTCGAACTTCCGAGACATCTTTCAACGGACCCCACCGCACGATCACTCCTATCCTGTCCGTGCTTGGCCTTCTGCCTTCATACGAACAGAGATGTCCTACTACAGAGAACGGGTCCCAACAAAGCACTGACTTTGCGCCCGACAAGGTACCCCCGCAATATTTCAACCTTTGAACCACACGGTTGAGATTCTGGAAGTGCTCCCACACAAATCTCCGAATACCCTTATTTTCTGGAATAGTTTCGTAAGTGCCATCTTTGTCCTGAT